AACAAACAGTCGGATAGAAAAGCTTGAAAATCTTGTGGACGCATTAAAAACCGAAAAACATTATTTCGTTCAGGCGAACAGAAAGATGGCTAAGGACATCGGTAAAATTTATTTTAAATTAATTTTTTTTTTGTATTCATCAACTACAATTAAACAAAAATCACTCGTTTTTAGATAATATACGTAAACGTTCTGCGAACAAAAGAGTTTTCAACAAATTTAGGGGCCAAATGAAGAAGAATTTGGTCAACGTCAAGACATTTATAAATTTTAATGAAAGTAATATGTCGTATATTTGTATAGAATTATAATCAGAAACATTAAAATATTATATTAACGTTTTACTTTAAATTGTGCGTTTAACTGCCATAGTTACAAAGAACGCGGGGACCGAAATTAACGTGCATCGGAAATATGACAAATTGAAAATGAGACTGTCTATGATTGAAAGTAAGATTAGATTATCTATAACTACTATGGTAAACGTTTAATTGTTGTACAAATTGAATTTGCAGAAGCAAATGTGACAAATCAGATTAACGCTCAACAAATGATGCACAGTATTATGTTATTATCAAGTGCGACAAGAGGTGGAGAGTTGAATCAATGAAAAACGTTCATTGCGATAAAAAATATCAACAAGCATATTCACCTCCTTCAGTGACACCAATAACACCTTTATTACAATCAGAATCTCCATCAATATCGTCATCATCTATAATACCTAAAGCAGAATCTTCTAAACATACGACATTTATAATCAATACAGATATATTGAAATCTATGACAAAACAATTAAGGAAACCTGATGGTAATAATATTAGGAAAATTCCAAGGCGTGTGGATATGAAGATTCCTAGTAAGGATAAGAATAATGATGAACAAAAGATCGCTCTTTCATCATCAGCACCTTCACATCAAGAGTCATCGGTAATGTCTCTAGCACCACCAGCACCTTCAATAACATTAGTGGCCCCGGAATCACATATTGATCCTTTAGCACTATCAGAACTTCCATTATTATCATTAGTAGCTACAAAGTCCCTTATAGAGCCTTTAGCACTACAGCCACCTCCATCGTACAATATAGACTAACCAATATTTACCTATTTATCCGCTCTCACCGCCATTTTCAACCCCTTATTTTTAATATATACAACTCAACTCTGAGCTTTCTAAGCGTCGAAATTCGGTGGTGTGGTAAATAGTACGATGAAATGGTACAAAATATATCGTTTCCTGAATAAGTACAATTGTATTTAATTTCAAAATTATTTTTATTTTTTATCTACTAAAAAAAAAATGATACGGTCACAAATTTTTAACACCAAATTTAGTCAATTTTAAAGTCAGAACTGTTTACATTAGCCTAGTAACAAAAATAAACAAATTAATAATAACTAACAATAACTGGTAATAATTAGTTGTAAACATAATATTTTTTTTCAAAATTAGCATTATTATTTTAAGATTCCATCTTCTAAAAAAAATGTTGCATATAACTTGTTTATAAAATTAAAACAAGTTTATTCAGTGGAATTGATGGCACAAAAATGATATTTTTCAAATCTTTTTCTATATCCAATATTTGGGTTTAACTTCTTGATTTTCAGAATAATATCTTAAATGTAAAATATAAAATGTTAAATGTAAAATCATATAATATACTAATATTACTTTAATATGAAGCAAAATGTGGTGTTATTTTTACACATATATACATATATTTATGTAGAAACGTAACGAAGCTTGTGTTATTGGTTGACAATTTGGTCATCGACGGACGATATAAGACGTTTCATTACGATTTCATATCGTTTGTCGATGACCAAATTGTCAACCAATAACACAAGCTTCGTTACGTTTCTACATAAATATATGTGTATATGTGTAAAAATAACACCACATTTTGCTTCATATTAAAGTAATATTAGTGTATTATGTGAGTAACTGATTTTACATTTAAGATATTCAGAGAATCAAAAAGTAAAACCCAAATTATAGATATGGTAGAAGATTTAATAATATATGTGAGTTTTAATAATGTCATCCCACTGAGTTTGCTTGTACGATTTTCTCATTAATTTCAAAAACATCCTTTATGAAACTAATTATTTTAGAAAATCGGTAATTTAAATAATAATACTATTTTTATAAAAATAGCTCAGGTATAACTAATTATTAACAATCATTATTGATATGATTTAAAATAAAAATTATTTTTCAATAAAATAAAATCGTACCTATTCAGAATACGATCCTAACGATAACCTAACCTCTTGCACATTTTCATATTTTCAGCGCTTAGAGCTGTATGTATTGATGAAGGACAGTTGTTGGTGGGAGGAGAGACTCCAACTAACGTTTCAGTTACACATTTTGTGATATTTTAAATTTCTTTCTCAAATCAGGTGTTAAAGTATCAATAAGTGATTCCAAATAACCAAGTCCATGGACAATTTTTATATTATTTATATTTTATAATAAACAAAATTATAACTTAAGAAACATTAAGAATGTATTTTCATGTTAGAAGCCAATAAAAATGAGTATGGGTGTGAATTTGACATGTAAAAAAAGAATTTATCTATTAAACTTCTTATTTATTTATTTCAAGTCTTTAAGTCCATTGTAGTCCATCAGTGCAAATTTCATAGCAAAATTTACACATTACATTTTTACGTTTACAATAAAAGCTTTAAAAGTCTTATTTACAGCGTATTTTTACCATTTCAGGACAGTTTTTTCCTCACGTCTAGAAAAACTATTACGATTTAAAGAAATAACCTATCTAAAGTACCACCCCGCATGTCAATTTAAAATCTAAAAAAGTCCTAGAAAAAACTTTTGGATCAGTATTTCTATCCGAAAAAGTGTTAAACAAATAAAATACAAATATCATTATAAAACCATAATATCCTTTGCTTCAATCAGAATCTAAAATTGATCATGTGATAAAACATTTGTGTTTATAGACAGGTAATTCGTTATACCTGCAATTAAAATATAAAATTAAAGTGAACCATTTAAATTTAGAAATATTCATATATTTACCAAATATTTTAGTAACAGTTGAATTGTACGGTTTGCGGGTGTCTATAACCAATGAGGAATATGAAAAAGATGGAAGGGCTTCAACACCCCCAGTTTTTTCATTGAAATTGCGCCCCTGCTTATAACAATTTTTTCAAATATATGTACTGGTCTTATAATTTTTTTAACATTATATGTTACAACAGCGGCTTTTGAACGGTCTTTTTAAAGTTGCATATTATTAAAAACTATTTAAGAAATTCATCAATAAATCAAGAACTTCTTAGCCATATTAAGTATTAAAACTTAACGTGCAGGGTCAATGAATTTTGATACACTTATTGATAACTTTTCTGAAGTAAAATCAAAGAAAATAATATTTCCCAATAATTCTGTACATAAGCAGTGGTGTATTGGAGGCTGTACGGGGGTATACGGCGTATAGCTTATAATTTGATAAATAACTACATAATACCTTGACTAACTTAACTTGTGGTTATATTTATGACGTGCGGTATCGGTATATTATTATTATTTTTCTCTCTTTTTTTTAAATGAAAAATTCAAATTTGTTATCATTTAACAACAAATTTTTGTTATCAAACAGTCATAATTAAGGATGTATAGTTCATGAGTGAGTTTTTTTGGTTCCTATCATATGATAGTTACTACACGAAATAAGGCGTATACCCATGATTTATTTTAGAAATACATCACTGTACGTAAGTATGTAGAGTACCCACAACCTACAGACTTTTTATTGGCCGATAGTTTAGTCGGCTTTTACATTCAAATGAAGGTTAATGCAAGAGCGTACATTACAATTATTTGGTATCAACCGATTAATAAGATTGGTGGGATGCACTTTGAATGCCTTCAAACTAAATGGTCGACTGTTTAATCAGTATGGCGCTCTCCCATCACCCGCACACAAATCGATTGATTAGTCAGCCGATAGATTGACACGGGAAGATCCTGCTGCTAGAAGATATAAAAAGTCTTAAATGTGCGTATTCCTTCAAAATTATTGGTTTAATTAATTTGACAAGTTAATTAAAGCTGTTTATACTCATTCGAAAATATTAAAAAAAAAAAAATTGTTGAGAAATTTAGTAATTTTGAATACAACGTATAAAACTTGTCTTGCAATAATCTATCAATGTACATAGGATGCACCCAAAATTCTCGGTTTCTTTTCTTCTTCATCTTTCTTCTCCGCTGCATAAAATCAACCTTTCTGGCCATTATGCACATATATTATATACATGTGCTCATTAGAACGTGTACATACAAGCAGTGGTGTAGGAAGATTCGTTTGCGCCCCTGGAAAACTCAGAAAAAAACGCTTTTTAAACAATTAAAATTTATGTCACGACCTTTAATTTTACTAATATTTTTAAGTATACAATTTATACTTAAGTTATTACAGTGTTAGTTTTAATTTTGAAAATTTGCAATTGTCGTTTTATGACTAGCAAATTCATCGATAATTTCTTTAGATGAAATATCTTTCTCTAACTCATTCTGAGATTGAGCTAATTGCGATAATCGTTTACAACCGATTAGTGATGAACAAAACAAGACCAAGACCAAGACTCAAAATCTTGGTTTTGGTCTTGCGCAAAACAATACCCGTTATAGCTGTGTAGGATTTTTGCTATGACTTCTAAGATGAAACATAAGTCCAATATATTATATAGTATACTAATAATATAAAACAATTAAATGATTTAATTTTTATTATAGGTACTCGTTTAAGACTGCATTTTAAAATATTATGTTTATATTATTTTACTTGTATTTATATTTGATGAATTAATTTACTAGCATTTTCTACTTTCTAAGTTTCTATTACATTTATAATAAATATCAATATTATAGACTATAAGTTTAGGACAGTAATGAAATGATATAATGTATAAGACACTAGTATGTATAAGTACTAGTATGTCTAATATGGAAAAATCATACAAGCTACGAACAAAAATAAAAACATATTTCCAATCAAAATGATATCTACCGTAGTCCGTAATGACTTCCAGCAATTATTAGTATATTCGATTCAAAGTAGTGGTGTATTATGGACATGGGTCATAAAATATTCTATGAGAAAGACAACTTTTAACGTTTTCATCGATTTTGGGAAAAAAATTTAATTTTTCAGTAATTGCCATGTATGAAACAACTATATTATGTTATTTTGTAATATTAATTTCAATTATTTCTAATGATTTTTTCTATAATTCGTCATTTCCTCGAATACTGATCAAATTTAATAACAATATAAATAATTTCTTATAATTTTCGTTATAAATTATTAGTTAATGAAGTCTAGATAACTAATGTGTTTTCGGGGGGAAAAAAAATGTGCAAAACTACAAGTCTGGCAGTGATGGTCTTAGTCTTGCAGCTTCGGTATTGGTTTGGTCTTGTTCTTGCAAGCCTAATCTTGATCTTGGTTTTGCTAGACCAGTACCGTCTTGGTCTTGCGAGACCGCAAGACCAAGACCAATTTTGATCATCACTACAATCGATCGGGGGAGCTAGAAAAAAATGGCCTCACGAAACAAATGGTACACAAAGAAGACTATAACAAATATAAATATGTAAAATGTTATTTAATTATGTATATTATGTAATTATAATAATCAAACAATCGTGTGAGCCGGTCGCATGGATTTTACTGGGGAGCAGAAACACGCGGTTGATATAGATTATGATTGAGGATAGAAACAAATGAAAAGTATCTCGTGAAAACGTGTCCCCAACGAGAACGCATTATTTTAAAGATAGTAGATGGGCCACGACCGAAGAACCATCCTGTGTGCGACCGAGTGAGCGCGCCGGCATCCGCGCGTGATGTACCGCGAAACCAACACTTATCGTTGAAGTCAATTAGGTGGCAAGCAAACACGAGTCTGAAAACCGCCAAAAACCACACACATAGTCGGTTCGTGCATTTAGTATCGTAAAGAATTACCATCACGTCGGCGGTTTGCGAGCACTCGTCACAAATAATTGTTATAAACGGGCACGCGCAGCCAAACAATTGCTACTAGGAAGTTTAGGCGAATTCCGTCACGTTTGAGCGCGGAAATATCCAATAACTGAAGGGAGGGGGGGTGAGTGCACATGGAAAGTTTCGTAAAAAAACATTTCACGTGAACTAAATCCCGGATCGAATAAATTGAGCAAAATCACGGTTAAACTATGGTATAATATAGACATCTGTGATTGAAATAAGAGTAGAAGGATAACCTTTATACGAAACTGTGGTACACTCCGTAGGACATTAGGGACGTGCGAAACGGTAAATCACTCGTTGAACCGTAGCCGCGGGCGCGATCCAGAAAAGGGCTGCCGACGATTAATTTGTTTTTCATTGTTCCGTTACCGCCGGTCGGCAGAGCAGCTGATAAAAAGCGTGGTCGGCCGGGGAATTTTGCGCTACCGCAAGACCGGTCACACTGCGCGCCGCTCCGCCCATTACCATTGGTCCGTTCGCGTACGCACCGTATGAAACACACGCACGATTATAATAAAATATATATAATTTTTTCTTCACTTTTTTTTTTTTATTTACACGCACACATACTCACACAATTAGATGCGCGCGTGGATTTGTATATTAATATTACGTTCTACCGCACTGTAGATACTATAGTATAAGTCTTAATTTTTTTTTTTTTTTTCCCGTTTTACACACGCGTACTACCACCGGGTACGGCGTTTTATATTTTTTCTTCCTTGGCGGACTACATCACCATCACCGGAGTCGCGTTGTTATCGTCGTTAAGAAAAGACACGCCGGTACGCCGCTCACGCCAAACGATCGTTACGTAGTGCCGATCCGCCGGTAAATTCGCTGTCGATATCCGTTCGTTGATAGCAGGCAGCCGCCACCGCAGCCGCCGCCGCCGCCGCCAACGACCGCTTAGCAGTAGTTGCAGCAGTTCCCCCGTTGGACACCCATTCGTCACTACCACTGTGCGCGCGCGTCCGATAACACTCGTCGCTCACACATACCCACCACATACTCACACATACACGCGCCGCAGACCCGATTCGTCACACATACGCACGCACGTACAAGCGGATAGCAGTGAAATAAATAAAGAACGGATTGAAGAAAAAAAATACGAAAATCCCCGTGTACATAATATACCACCACAACTATAGCCGCCGGTACTCACGCACGCACGCACGGTTGCCGCAGCACGCACGTACGAGATCGTGGTCACCGTCTGTACGCCTAAATATCCGTCGACGCCGTGCAGTTATCATCGTCATCATCACCAACAACAACACCGCAAGCAGCATCAGCAGCAGTTATCATGGACGATCTAAAAGTCGAGGTGCTCTTCGATAACGGCGCCTACTACGAGGTAAGTCGTGTGGAGACGGTACACCTCGTAGCGATGGCGATGGCGATGTGATCGTCACCGCACGAGTCACGTCCGTTATGGTCGTGATGGTGCGCGATTCATAGGTTATGGTCGCAGACACCACCGGTTTTCCCAGTTACATTGACCTAGCCGCCACTGGTGCCTGTGAGTCTCCCGAAACGCCCATGTCCCCCGACCCCGACGTGAATTCGTCTGCTTTTGTATGACTCGAGTTTGAGGTTATTTTGCCGTCTTATTACCCACCCCTTATTCCTTTGCTTTTTTGGACGTTGTCTACTTCCCGTTTGCACACCATCAGTTGTTTGATCCCAGCCTGATGTCTATTTTCCAGCATATCTGCAACTGGTTTTCCACACAATTGCTTTCTGGCTCATGATCAATTTTCTTTAGTCTTTTGATTGAAGTCAAACTTTTTAATTTTCACTAGGTTTATTGCTTCTTGTTTAATGTTCATACAGTTCCTGTTATAAATCTAGTTGATTTTGCAATGAGTTACCACTTGGTTATTCTCTTTGATGGGTTTACGTTTAACCATTTTCTTTCGAGTACTTTTGATGGATTAAGTATGATTAGTTTAGTTTTTGTCTTAACTTAATTTTGAATAGTAAATACATTAATGTTAGGTTACTCAATTAATTCTGTTCCCACACGTGTGTTTACTTGTTAATAATTATCTACTAATATGGTTGTTAAATTTTAGTATAAATTATGTAAAACTCAATTTTTGTAATCTAATAACAAACTCTACTTGCTCCATTTATTGTGAACCAATTTATAAGTAATGGGGTTTACATTTATATTAGGCCAGTATACTTAGTATTTGAAATTAATTTTCTCTATAAATCTGAAATATCAAGTAATATTCTTACCATACCAATATAGTTCAAGATAAAGTACCTTTAATAACATAAGTGTATAGTTTATTTTCTTTAAATGTATCTTTTAAACCAATATATAAGAGTAGTCATGTTACTTTATATTTAGTTTTATTTTTGTATTTGTTTAATTTTGTGTATATGTTTGAAGGAATTGAAAAAAATTTTACTTAATTCATTAAAAATTCTGATGTGTTCAGTAAATATATGATTATTATTGGGTGTACTTTAAAATAATTTATTAAGTATGTCTAAATTGCATATAACTGATAAACTATATTATATCTATTACTTGAAACATATTTATTTTACATATACATTCATAACCTTTCTTTAATAGAAATGTATTGAAGTTAAATGGTAAGATCACAACGACCCTTTGATTGTATTTCTTGTAGGATGTTGTAGGTTTTATAGATACTTGGCAGTATTTTTCATTTAAATTGTTGATACATCTATTAGAATCAGTTATGAGAGGCCTTAAATTGAATTATTTGATATTTTTCATTATATATTTGTATTAATTTTTGGTTGGTAACATTTGATAAATAATTTAATTTACTATTTTTAGGAATAGATTGTTAAATTATAAAAACAAAATCTCTTGTAACATATATACATTATAATAATAATAAAAAATGCAAAATTAAATTGTGAGTTTTAATTCTAAAAATAAATGAGTAATTTAAAATATATTGGTATGCAATTATAAAATGTTCATTTAAAAAAAATGATTCACTTAATAATATCATTATAATATTGAAAAAGTAATTAGAATATAAAAATGTTATCTTCTTTTTTACTAATAATACTTTAAATGCCTGCTGTACATATTATAAAATTATAAGCAAAACAAAAGTATTAATACTCATTTATGAAAAAAAAAATGATTGCTTCCCCCATGTAATATAAATTTACGTAATGTATTGACAAATGTTAATTTTTATCTGAAAATGGACAGTATCGATCAATTGTCTACCCAACTACCAAATTTTTAGGGCAATTGGAGGCTGCTCCCTTAGATAAATACTTCTGATATACACATTATAATACAGTTAACCTATAAATAGCTTCAGATATTAAGTATTTCTATAGTATTTAATCAACTAGATATGCATACATTACTGGAAGATATATTAACTATTAACAATAGTATATGATAAATGTATTTCTTAATTTTTTAAGAACATGTATATAATAAATATTGAAAAAAATATTACAGGGTGTTGTTACGGGTGTTATGGAAAATGAAGTTCTGGTATCTTTTCCTAATGAGTAAGTATTATTTAAATATTATTGAAATATAATTTCATAATAATAATGTTATTTATTTAAATATACTGTTTTTTAATAAAATTCATAAATTAAAGGCTTAAGTTGTAAAATAAAATCTTAAGTACCTAACCCATTCAGGTAAATTTGATGGATTACCATTTTATTGCTTAATTAGGAATTCATATTTATAAAGTTTTGATTTGATTTTTTCTATTAACTTCTATTTATCTGTAAATAAAGATTATAATACCATGTATTACTTTAAATCTGAAATCAGATTTGTAATCTTATATTAAATGACTGAAACTTAAATTATTTTATTAAAAATGTTTAAGACTGTTTGCTTCAATACTTATCATTTATTTATTTTGTAACAATATAGACATGTGTGTTTATTAATTTAATTTCTATATTCTATTGTATTGCGAACAGTCTAAACTTAATCTTTATAATGGTTATTGTTTACATATATTTTATAATTATGTAAGTATTTATAAATCATCTGAGCCTACTAAATATTTGTTAAATTATATCAAACATTTTCATGCAATTATAAATCACTTAGATGGTTGTATATATTTCAATTTTGTCTTATAATAACATCTACATTAAATAATTTATAAATTAAAGTACTTTAAATATATTGCGATTGCTATAAACCATATTTTAAAATTAAAGTACTGCTTATTTATGAAATAATTTTACTTAATGAATTATATGAAAAATTATATTCATGTACTCAGAAGATATCATAAAATTATAATATTCAAAACAAGTGTAGAAAACTTGTTATTTATTCAATTTTATAATTTTAAGTTTACTAGAATTATTACTAATTTTTGGTTATTTTTAACGATTTATGATTGATTTATCTAAATTACTAACTATAATTATCTACATATATTATATATTTTTATGCTAAACTTTATTTTTAAAGTTAAAATATTTTAAATTGGTAGTTTATTAATTATAATAATTTTAATTCTTTATTAATTATTAAAAACTGAATTAAATAAGTTTAAATTATAATTATTTTAAATTATTTGCTTTGATTATTAATTTAAAATACATAAATTAATAGAGGTTATTAATCATTACACAAATATTAAATCTTAAATGGTCAGATTAATTAAAACTAAGAATTAATATAGATTTGTCTTGATATATTTGTTTGGATAATAGTTTTAATTTAAGTAGAATTAAGTTTATTCGAGTTAATCTGTATAAATGCTTTATAAATATATCTATAAATAAATTTTATGTTATCATTAGTATTCATTATATATCTGAAATATAATTTAATTTAACTATTTATATGAATTTTAATTTCATTATATTCACACAAATTAACTTATTAAAATATTTAATAGTTTATGAACTATAACTTATTTGACTATTTTCTTATTAGTTATAATATTTTATTTTATCATAAATAAATACCTAGTATTATTTATTTATAATTTTTAGTTGGTATCCAGAAACTAAATTCAATTGTGCCAATGTTCGTCTCCCTTTGCCTGATGGCACGTGTGGAACAGAGTATACTGATAATCAAGAAATAGAAGTAAAAGCTATAAGAGACCCTCATCCTTGTTTTGGATGGTTAAAAGCCGTGATAAAAATTATCAGTGGCAATCCACCAACTCAGTTTGTTGTCCAGTATCTTGATACACCTATTACAGAAATAGTTTCACCAGATAGATTGAGATGCAGGAACACAAATACCAATATTAATGCTGATACTTTTTATAAGTTTGATATTGAAGTACCAGAAGATGTTAGAGAGTCGTATGTATATGAAAATATTTCTGTATATAATTAATTTGAGAACTTAATATAAAAATGACTAAGTTTAATATACAATAACTAAATTACAAAATTTTCAGTGCTAAGATTGATGGTATTCATAAAGAACTTCAAAAAGCAATTGGTGCATCCCTAGTCTTATATAACCCAGATCATTCGGTGTTAAGTGTTATATCTCGTTCTCCATTGACTAGTAAAAGAGCACAGATGTTGGCTGACATGCACTTCAGAAACCTTAATCAAAAGGTCATGTTGTTAAAGAAGACTGAGGAGTTAGCTAGACAGCTGGAAAGTTCCAAGTTACAGATAACATCCTCATCATATACTGATGAATTTAAAGTGCGTGATGATCTTATGGGATTGGCAATTGGTGCTCATGGCACTAATATCCAACAAGCTCGCAGGGTTGATGGTATTACTAATATCGAATTAGATGAGCATACAGGAATATTTAAAATTTATGGAGAAGTAAGTACATGTACATTTATAGCTTAAGCAACAATTTTAAATAATACAATTTTCAGAACAAAGAAGCAGTAATGAAAGCACGAGGAATTTTGGAGTATAGAGAAGAATTTTTACAAGTTCCAAGAGATTTCATAGGAAAAGTAATTGGTAAAAATGGTCGAAACATACAAGATATTGTTGACAAAAGTGGAGTAGTAAGTTTATAATTTATTTTATTTTAAAACATCTATATAAATTGTTTTCAATTATAGATCAGAGTAAAAATTGAAGGTGATAATGAACCACAACCTACCATTCCCCGTGAAGAGGGTCAAGTTCCTTTCGTATTTGTTGGTACAGTAGAAAGTATATCCAATGCTAAAGTTCTACTTGAATATCATTTAGAACACCTTAAAGTAATTATTTTACATATTTATTTTTGTATTTTGTAAACTAATTTGTATACTCTGAATAGGAACTTGAACAAATCAGGCAAGAAAAAATGGGAATGGAACAAGAATTACGTAGTATTCACAGTACTGGACCTTCTTATCCACACCCTATAATTACTAACTATACCATGCAAAGGCGAAGTGACAGGTATCTTTTCTTTTAATTTAAAAATTTTATAATGATAGAAACTACTCATCAATTTCTAAATATTAAATATTAATAAAACAATTAAATAAGAGTTTCATTTAAATAGATCTTATATATCATAATTTTATTGATTATTTTGAAAATTAATATTCAAAAGTTATTAAAATTAATGGATATATTTTATAAAAAATAATTATTTATACAGAAACTTTAATGCTGAAAACGAAAACATGAACAACGGCATGAGCAACTCTATGGGAAGAGGTAGTGGCAGATCCAGAGGGACTTCTGGACGGGGTCGAGGTGCAAGGCATGATTTTTATAACAATAGTATGTACTAAATAAATAAAATAATACTACGTACAATAATACAAATTTCATTGTATTTTTAGGTAGTAGTAATAGAAGTCAACATCAGGATATTGTTGATGATAGATTACCACCTCCTCCTCAACGTTCTAACCAATATCAGTACAATCGTACTATCAGTCAAGGAAACATGTCAAGAGATCGTCGGGGAGGTAATAACTCGACTTCTAGAGGTAACAGGGGAGGTGGAAACAGACGAATGGATGATAGAAGGAGAACAGCTGATGATGAACATACAATACTTGATAACGCTCAAGACAGTGGTGATAGAGGTAAAAAAAAAAAATAAATAATTTATCATTTTCTGTGCTTTTGTTTGGTTGTTTGATGATTGTTGTTTTTATAAAGCCTTGCTTGATTTATTATAATAATAAATACAATTATAAATATAGATTAAGGCTTCGGAAAATATTAGTCTATCTAGATTGCTTAGATTTTATTTTTATTTTGCACTTGGCTGATGAGATATAATTTTTTTAATAAGAAATAGTACAAATCCAGTGCAACACAATTAGATTTTTTTAGACTATCATTAATGTTAATTTGTAAAAAGAAACATTTATAATAAAGAATGTTAATCTAAAAGCATTGATATGGCTTAGACAGTAAACATTATAATCAATTTATACTCATATATTTATATTTTATAATTAGAGATGGATTGAACTCGCAACCTATATTCTCAATTTTTTCAACTATTTGTGATCAAAACTCATTTGTACTTTAACAGAAAGTTGAAACATTGAAAAAACTAGGACTACTGATATTGTTCCTTATGTATCAATAATACGCAAAGATGGCATGATTTTTACTGTATTTACTTATTTTTATTTAATATTTACATTCATTAACTTATACTTTTTAAAATGTAATTACATTAGAACCTTAAGTATATAACTAATTTGGTGCTTAGGGATTTAATAAAAATTGAAACATTAATAATTATTAATTATTTAGTTTTGCTGTTTTTTTTTTTTTTTTTTGTATAATTTATTACATCAAACATTTTGAATATTATTTATAATTTTTATATATATTAAATATATCTAAAGTATTAAAAGCTTGTTGTAAATTTCATTTGTATTCTTTTTTTTCTTAATTTTGTTTTCTTTTTTTGATTACATTAATTCATTATCAATGGTTTAAATCAAAATCTTAAATCAGTTTTATTTTTTATTTTTATTTTTTTCTGGCTTAATGATCCATCGAGGATCTTTACTGCTAAAACTACCTATCAGTTTGATTAGTATTTTTTAATTTATTCAATATTTTATAATTATTAAATTATATTTAAAACAATATTAATAAAATTTTAACTTTTGTTATACCATAAATAAGTATCAAAATATTAAATAAGTCCAATAAAATATACATACATTTTTCAAAATTTATTGATAGTAATATTTTAATTATTTTATTGTGCGCTGAAGTTACTCGCGTAACAGAACTCTTAAATTCTAGTATTTTTCCATGACTTAATTTTTATCACATTCAATTATAATTCTATAGCTATTTATATTGTGGATGCTTTAAGTACAAACTATATATTTCTCCATAACTGATAAATTCTCATTGGAATTAATTAAATTAAATATTTTAATAATTTACTTAAATAAATTAGTTAAAAGTTGATTTGTTATAGCTTTATCATAACTATATTTATTAAATAACCTACAATTTAACTAATTTTTTGCTTTTATATTTTCAAAAGTTGGCTTTAAAATTAATACTATTGATTGTAGCGAGGCTAATATATATTAACAATGTTCATTTGCCAAAAAAAACAAAAATAGTTGTCAGTTTTAAAATAGTATTATTTCACCTGAGTATAATGTTTAACATTTTTATTATATATTCATTTGATTATTTAACTATTTAGTGGGGGTCATAAATAGTATATTTTGCTAAAAAAAAAATCCGAAATAAGATATTACTCTTTTTAAGTTTTCATTTAATACTGGAAGTAAAATATAAGTTATTAAGTAATTAATTATATTATTGAAATTTGTATAAAATTATAATTTATTTATGATTTATAATTATTAATGGATAAAATGAAAATTAATTGTAAATACATCATAGTATATTTCCTATTCTTAATTATGCATTTTCTAATTAAGTTTATTTTGTACAGATTATTAAAAAATAACAAACTTGATGAGTTATAAGATATTTTATATCAAATAGGATAATAATCATTTCCACAGTTGATTCAAATTTTGAATTAACATTTAAAATATTTGTTATCTTTCTTTTTCTATTATTTTTATTTTATTTTGCGCTAGAGTCTGTATCTAGTGTGGACGCGCAAGCACCAAAGTCAAAAAGCAGTCAGAAACGAAGAAATCGCGCCATAGCTGCTGCACAAGGTGAACCTTCAATCAATTCTGTACCCAGTTGTAGTAGTAGTGACAATATTAACCAATGTAAGTAATGCATTTCTAAAAAAAAAAAGCTTGTAAATATAAAAAGCACGAATAGAAAAGTGTGTTGCGAGGATTATATATATATATATAAAACAGAATACAAGACCCAAATTGCCATATCAAGAATACAGTTTTATATTAGTATCGTAGTTTTACTAAATTTATTATTTTCGACATAGGTCGTAGTTTATTTTTCAAAATAGTTTTTATATTTAAATAAATTTGCATGCATTTAATTAGTATACTAACATACAATCTAAATTGTATTTCATTTAATTATTTTAGTTAACCAATCTCACAAACAAAAGCACATGTAATCTTAGTTTAGTAAAATTTGAAATGAAGTTGTTTAGTCTAGCTATTTATGAAAGTATATTTTAGACAATTAGTCACTAACATATAGTTCAATTTAACTATGGCTATTACTTATATATCATTGTGCTAGACTCTTATTTTAATTTTAAATTTATTTTGATATTAATAGATATTTTTATTATTTAGGGAACTATGACTTTGAAAAAGACAATAATATCGAGGCAACTAACACGTCTCAGTCTAATACTGCAAACAATGGAAATGCTAATAATGGTAATGCAAACAATGGAAACAAATCAGGTAAAGCTCAAAGAGCCAAAGGTCAACTAAACAAGTCTCCAGCAAAGAACAAGTCAAACAACTCGACACCAGCAGCTAACGGACAGCAGGTCATAGTAAATGGTTCATCTTCTGCGCTAGATGCTGACTCTGCCTAAACATTTTTATCCATTATCACAACATCTTAAAGAAACATTAAGCTAATTTTTTGTTTCTAAAAATATATATATATATATATATATGTATAAATATATATAAATACTTGTGGTATAAAGAATTCAAACCACCAAATTTCATTTGAAATATTAAGAAATTATTTAATTAACAACAGATAGCATCTTTAAAAATGCGTGGGAAAAATGTAATTGTATTAGAATTCTTTTCTGCACTTAGATATTTTATATTTTTTATTTTCTCAGTATATTATAAGTCATGTTAAATAAAAAAATTATATTTAAAATCTACTTATTGAATGAGTGACAAAAAAATATATTTATATAACAACAAATTAGGTTTTTTTCTTAGAAACCGTTATATTGAGTTGTATTAAGTGTTAGAAAAAAAAAGGAGTAAAATTATTATATTTGTCACTGAGTAAATGGGCTTTACAAATTATTTTCTAACAATGTGAAATTTAAAAAAAACTATGTTTATTTTTTTCTATTAACAGTGTGTTACATTCTTTTATTTTGAATTTACTTTCATAAAAAGATCATCCCATAAATGATTTTTATTAATTACATTCATAAAATCGTAACTTTGTCCTTATTATTCGTAAACATTTTTGTGTAATACAATTTTCTTATAACCTAAAAAAAATTAAAAATAAAAGAAAATATTATTTTGCAAAAGATTAAACTTTTTTTTTATCGATAATCATTATTCTTTATGATCACAACAATAATTATTAATAATGAGTTTATTTGTATGTTTAAAACAAAAATATAATTAATTAGAAATTTTACTTGGCAGCAATTGACTTAGTTTAATGTCAAAACCGTGTACGCAAAAAAAAAGTGAAAAAGTTTCAAAAAATAAAATAAAAAAAATAGTGAAAACCATTTGTTCACCTATATTATGCAAATATGCATTTATTTTGCGTACGGTATTAAACAAACAACACATTTGGTTTTGTTTATTCTAAGTATTTATTTATTATTTTTTAAAACTAATATTAGTAATTCTGTAATGATTTAATTAATAATTATGTTAATAGCATTTCTTTGATGTATGAATTAATAGGGTGTGCATTTTAAATAAAATTGGTCATTGGACTACAATTTATTCAATCGTAGCACGCGGTTGATATGTCTACTCTAAATGTTATCAAAGCTGTTTAAGAGAGACAAAAATTGATTATGTCTAATATGTAAAACTTATCTGCGAGTAAAAGATCACTCATTATGTCTTAAATGTCTAATTGTCTCACTAAGTGAATGATTGAGTAATTCTGGCAAATTGTTTTAGTGAATTCTGCTGTGGTCGTCCAGCATTACATTGTGACTTTTTTTCATTGATGTATACTTATATATATTTATATATATAATGATCATTATAAATTATACATACCTATTTCTTATAATATACATATTTATATATTATACACATATATATGTGTATATAAATAAATAATTATAAAAGATATTAAAGGTAATATACATCCTCATATACTATTAGTTATATAGTATAACCTAATGAAATACATTATTATAATTTTTTTTTTTTTTGCATAATAAACTGTACATTTTTGAAATAATTTATATAATATTTTGTAGTTTTATTTTATTACCCCGAGTACTGTTTTAGTTTGATAATGACACAAGTTACAAAGAAAAAAAAGTGAACTGATCAGCTCTCGAACCTTTGTAACCCCAAAATGTCTTCTTTAATCAAATAGGAAAGTAATCAATCCAAAATCACTATCACTTATTTCACCACTAACCTTTTGTAATCATTCCACCTCTTTCTATTTTCTTTTCATTTAGGGTTATTACAAAAATGTTCAATTTATCCGTACAAATATTTTTAACTAAATTAAATACTTTTCCAATAGAATTTCAATTGATCGCGAATATTTATATTGTTTTAAAATCTGTGCAATTCGTCTTTTTTGTCTCGTCCAATGTTAAATCAATTAAAGTTATTATTTTTTATTTTCACACAAGTATATCTCGTGAACACAATCCTTTCGTCTTAAACAAGTTACCACTCTTGGATTATGATAGAGATATTGAAAATTTTTCGCTCCTAATATCTCAAGTCATAAAATAAATTCGGTTAATAGTTTGAGACTCTCACAAACAACATGCAATCGTCGTTGATGATCTGAAATGAGTTGACGACAAATGTGTAAACTTAATAATTACAGTGAAGACGGTACCAACGAATCGTAATAATATATAGTGAAGAGACCCATTCTACTTACCGTTTAAGGGTGGTATTTCCATGTAAATACTTTACTGGTTTTCCCTGTAGGTATGAAAGGGCTAATTCACATGAGAGGCGTTAAACGCGCGTCGACATTGTTACCATTGTTCACATGTTTACTGAATTTACGCGCTGAGTGCGCGCTTATATCGTAGTCAATCGAGTATTGTATTCTGTCGAAGATGGATGTTGCAGATGCGATTTGTTTATGGATACTGTATCGTCGTAGACAAAAAGCACGAAAATATTAGGTTCATCCTATTTTACAAAATAGACTTACCTCAAGCTTATACATTACGCTTTATCCGAGTCTTAGGAATTATGAACCTAAATTTTTCAACTACTTCAGAATGTCAATTCAATCTTTTGATGACTTGTTGGAACTAATAAAGGGAGAACTTACTGTTGATGAAAGTGCAATTAGGTATTGCATTTCACCTGAAGAAAAACTTATAATAACTGAGGTATGTACTTTAATTTTTATTTTACAAACATAACAAATTACTTTAACTTGAAATATACTTTGAAACTTAAACATTTTGAAAAATGAAAACTTATTTATTAATGATTTTTACATAATTAATATTAAAAATTGTATTTAATTCTTTTTATACTAAAAACTTGTTAATAATTTTCTTCAAATAAATCCATAATTGATTCTTGAGAAACTTCACTGACATTTGATGGTGTTGGAGAAGGTGAAGATAATGAAGTCAATTGATGTTGATAATTGTTTTTCTCTATAGTAGTATAGTCTTGATGATGTCTGCGTGCGGGTGTGTCATATGATGTAGTAGTATCATAGTTTCAGGGGCGGATAGAGCCGCCGGGACACCGGGATTTTCCCGGTGGCCGCTGCTTATATTGACGAAAATGGGCCGATGAAAAATATTACTACTAATACTATTATACATCTACATATATACAAATAAAAGTAAATAAATATAATACTAATAATTTATATATTTTAATCTAACTTAAATCTATAAATATCAAAGTAAATTCCTTTAAAATGAAGGTAAAAAAGTATTTACAGAAGGGTTACATAATTTTAAATGTAATTTTTTTAATGTATTATTTTAATTGAATGATCAAAAATTAAAAATTAAATTTTATTCAAAATTTCGAGTGCAATTTTTTTTCTTTAATGCATATTTTAATATATTATTGCATATACTTGTGCATGTTAAAGATCTTTTAGCGCATATTTGATTGGTTTTTAATGCATATAATTCCGTGCTATAATGATAACTGATTGTTCAGATTTAAATTATCATATATAGTCACCAATAAAACCCCACGGCAAAGTTGATTACTGATATATCATGTTTTTCCACAATAATTATACGCGAACCATGTAAATAGTATAATATTGCTAAAATGTTGTATAACCAGGTATGTTTCAAAACGAATTAAAAAGAAAAAAGGAGGTGCAGAAAATAAAAGAGATAAAAATCGTAAAGTTGTTAGAAGAGAGCAAAATGAATGTAATATTGGATAGTATAATATATATAATAATTTTAAATATTATTTAAAATCGTTGAAAAAAAAAGGTGGTGACTGTCGGGTCGGTTCCTCAAAGTTGAGGTAATTGTTTAGTTGAAACTTAGATATAATCATGCGGGCCGCTGTATTCTATTTTTCGCGGGCCGGTCAGATTATGCCTATCCGCCCCTGCATAGTTTGGGTATACAATGTTACTTGGCATGTATTGGTGATTATACATTGGAGAGTGATATCTACTAGGTGGTGATATTGTTTGATTTTGTAGTATTAAATTATATTTATCAATTTTGAGTTTCAGGCGTTTGGTTTCTGGTACTTTTTTGATATCTTTCAATAAGGACAAACAAAATAGTTTGTCTTCATCATCTTCTTGTTTTTGTACGAAAAAAAAATTTTTAACTATCGCTTAACTTTAGCACGAAGATACATTGAGTGTACTTTTGGTATTATTAGTAATAAATGGCGTATATTACATCGTCCACTAGACGTGGACATCGATTTTGCAGAATATATTGTGAAAGCAATTTGCGTACTCCACAATTATGTAAGAACACGAGATGGCTGCAGTTATGAAGATACGTTTTTTACAGTACCCCTATCAAGTTTAACTGAAGCTACAACTGGACGCGCTATACGAGTAGCAGATAATGTTCGGCCAAATTTATGGATTATTTCACCAATGAAGGAAGTGTCGAATGACAAAACCGTATGATATAAATTTATACATAGGTACAAAATATTTTAATAGTTATATTAATTTTTAGTAGTAAATAGATGTACAACAATGTATATTAAACTTTATTTTAAAAACAAACAATATGTATTTTTTTTTAATAATAATTTTAAATAATTAATTTATGTATAGAATTTTTTTCCAAAAAACAATATGAAACAAAATAAATTATGTCTAAATTATATATTTAATTGATTTTAAATTTTATATCAAATTATAAAATACAAAATAGTTAATAATACTTACCATGGAATTTTTTTCTTTCTTTGGTGTCACTTGGGTCACTAAAAATTAGAACAATTTCTTCCCAGGCCTTTCTTTTACTGATTTTATTTGAATATTCATTGCTTGTCATATCCCAAATTGGGGGTCTTTTTTCAATTTCGTCAATGAATAAATCAGTATTAAATTCCTCACTATCCATTTTTGATTTTTTTAGAAAACGTTTTCGAAAAAACAAATGGAAATATCGAAAAACAAGAACCTATCGCTTCAAAACGCGCGTTGCAACTGAACACGTCAATGCAAAACTGTACAATGTTCAAACGCGCGTTGACAGGTTTTTTGCGTTGTCGCTGCGTTACCATGTGTACAGTTAACGCGTTAACGGCTAACGCGCGTTTAACGCCT